CACAGAAACATCAAGGAAAAGACAGAGAGAGAGAGAGAGAGAGAGAGAACCCTTTATAAATAAACAAAAAGGATCACACAAAAGTATTTAATAGGATTCACTCTTTCTCACCCACAGTTATTTGAAAATGGAATCCACTTGCCAATCAAAACAAACAGCTTAGCAAGCCACCGTGGAGAGAGAGAAAACACCCAAACCCAAAAGCATCCATGTGTAATTGCATGGAAATACAAAATGGAATTATATTATTAAATTAATAAAGTCATCAACAGAAACCACTGGTGACAGACTTGTTTAAATAATATACTAGGTCTGGGGTTAGAATGGGGTCTTGTGAGATAATTCCAAGTTGTACGTTTTTCATTTATTTATGCTTAGTGGTTTGTAAAGCAAGAAGCCTTCTCAGGATATCAAGCATGATAATTGCCTACTAATACAAAACATACTGCAGATGAGGTCATCTTCCTAGCTTTCATGTGCATGAAAAGAGCACAGGTGTCTCCTCACTTACGCAGGGTTTATGTTCCCAGGTAGGTAAAGGTAAAGGACCCCTGGACGGTTAAATTCAGTCAAAGGTGACTATGGGGTTGTGGCACTCATCTTGCTTTCAGGCCGAGGGAGCCGGTGTTTGTCCACAGACAGCTTTTTCGAGTCATGTGGCCAGCATGACTAAACCGCTTCTGGTGCAATGAAACACCATGATGGAAACCAGAGCGCATGGAAACACCATTTCCCTTCCCGCCACAGCAGTAGCTATTTATCTACTTGGACTGGTATGCTTTTGAACTGCTAGGTTGGCAGAAGCTGGGATAGAGCAATGGGAGCTCACTCCGTCGCGGGGAACGCCATCTACACGGCCTGTAAACAACCTCTAAACCTCTGGAAACACTTGAAAACCACTTTTAAAAATTCCGCCAAACTCCACCACAGCCGCTCCCTCCAAATCTCCTTTGGCTGGAAGAGGAGGAGTGATGGCAGCAGTTGCCCAGGAGACACCTGGGTTTGACACCAGAGAGGAAGATTTTGGGGTGAGAGTTGGGGTGAAGGGGAGAGGCTCCTCAATGTGTGCACAGACTCTGACAGGGCCTGCATCTCCTGCTCTGCCCAGCCAAATAGGCAGCTGCAGAATTTGGAGCTTTATTTATTTCTGGGACATTTTCTGACTGTGAAAACTCAGTGTTTGCCATGGATAACTTTTCTGGCTTCATCTATGGGCTGTGCTGAGGAGGATTGTTCCAGCCCTGCACAAGGCTTTTGTGAACGTCCTTAATTTTAAACACACCACATTCTCCCTCTTTCCCTGTTATGCCTGGATTTCTGGTGGGGGGGTGGGGAGAAATATATTTCCAGCTAATATCTTCTGCAGTTAGTTTTAAGCTGTCTTGTGCAACGTAGGTTTCTGAGGGAAAGTGGGAGAAAAGTAAGGGAGAAAGCTGGTGAATTGTGGGTAATAGCTGCAAATGCTCTGCCATCTGCTTTTTCCAGGTGTTTCTCCTACACTCTGTGCCTCGAAGCCGCAATAACGGGGGGGTGGAAATAGCACTAATAAACATTATTTCTAATTCATGAAGGAGAGACAGGCTGGATGAAGTCATGGTTTGGGCCCTGTGCCAAATGGACAACCCTGCTTCGGGGGACATTATATTTGCTAGCAGCTACAGAGTGGTTGGTTTCCTGTCAGAAGAAAACTAAGAAGAAGCAATAGGAAAGGAAATGTAGCTCCCCAAAGTATTATTTAATCCTATTTAGGCAATCTAAAACCTTGCACTCATGTTGATTTAAAAAGAAAAAGAACCAACCCAAGAAAAAAACTTAATTGAGTACTCAGCAACAATAAATCACACTGTAGACAATACAACATGAAGCACTATCAAATATTTCTTTTCTCTATTTAGCCCTTTTCAGAGAAAAACAGTTCCAGAATGAAATAATTTGCCTCAGGAACCCCTTTTTTTACTCCTGGTTTCCTATAAAAGGTTGAAAGGATGCTCCAGGGTAGGGATGGGGAGGAACCTGTAGCCCTCCAGATGTTGTTGGATAACAATTCCCATCATCCCTGACCATATGGCAAGTGCAAATGCTCCAGTCTGACACAGAGAGGCCCATATTTTAAAATCCACAGAGCAAGAGGGAGCAACCGGCTTCTTGCCCTCAGACTCTCAGGTGTCTGACTAGGCAATTTATTATTGAAGTGAGAAGTATTTTGCCTCTGGGAGCAACAGAAGGCATCTTTTCTTTCTCTACTTGTGTCGGCTTCATAGCCAGTTGCTCAGTGAGAGAAAACTCATGCTCTGTGGATCTCTGCCTTTGGCAAGAAACCAAAAACACCTACAATCTATAATGGCTGAAACCTCCAACTTTCAAGAACAGTCCTTGTGGGATTTCTGGGAACTGAAAGATGTTGCTGAAATTCCTTCTTTCCCCATCCCCTTTTACTATGAGTTCATTGCTGCTGCAGGGTGTTTGCTGTGCGGTGCAGGCCAGACCATATAAATGGACACAGGAGATTGGTATTTGGGTTAAAATAGGCCACAACATTATTGATTACAGATGCCGGTTGATTTGGCCAAGGCGCTGGGCGTGGATCTGATCTCAGTCCACTTGCCTGCAGGTTGATAAACCCTGTAAGGTGGGGTGTAGCCTCTGACATGAACCAGTTGCCACAAACCCTCCCGGGGCTGCCATTCGGAGAGGTATTTTAGCCCAGAGGGCCCCCGCCTGGGCTCCTGGACAGTTAACCCTCCTGGACCCCTTTCATGAGGTACCCAGTCAGTTAAGGATCCAGCCCAATGCCTTATCTACCAAAGTTGTGACAGTTGCTATGAGGTAGGTGAAAACCTGCAGACCAGCCATTTTGTCAGCAAGAAAACATTCCTCCCTGGCCCTGAATACAACAAAAATTAAAAACCATATCGAGGTCCAATGCCATCCTGCCCATTCACCTCTGAGCAGACCACTTACAGGCTGGGTGAGTGGTTGGTGAATTTCATGGCTGCAGGTCACCCTCTTAAATACAGGGGGAACCCATCTCGCCCCCTCCCCTTCCTGATAGGTCCTCTGGACAGGACTCAGCTGATGTTCTGGCGCAACCAGAAAGAGAAGGTGCCAATGATTTCTCTTTCTACCCCCTCAGCTGTGCAGGAATCGCCTGCCCAGCCCTTCCTGGAACTGGGCCGCAGCCCAGTCAGTGTGATTATTAAATTATGGGTGAGGGGAGAATTTCACCAAAATCCAGGCTGCAACTCGGCTTCTGCTAGAGTGGGTGCGGGATGGCGACAGAAGCATCTATGGAACAGCTACCAAAAAGCTGCCAGCTTCAGCTCACCTATCCGAGTTGCAAGATCCTTGTCTCCTTTTGCAGCTCATCCTGCAGAATAATGAGAATTGCAATGGCTGCCATAAGCTCCCCCTGCACAGTCCTGTTTTAAATCTGGGCATCCTATTGATGGCACCACTGAAGTGCAGAGTGAGAAGGTATTGGGAGTGGGCGAGTCATAAATCAGTTTTAAACAGTCACTATATTAGTTAATGGGAAAAGATTGTGTTTCTTTCCTTTCCTTGTTATGTGGAGCAGTTTAGTCAACAGAAAAATGCTGTCTCAGGGACCAAGCTTTGACTGGCCACAATAAGGCAGAAGCCTGCAGCTAGCATCTCTAAGCCATTAGCAGAGGTTTCAACATATGTATATTTTATGGTTGAGAAAGATGATTTCTAAATATTTCATTGCTCACAGGCTACACTGCACTCTCAGTGTCCCCCTTTTCCATTGTGAAAATTGGTTATTGTTCGAACGTTCTTGTTTGAAGCTTCTTGAGGTTTTTTTAAAAAAAGGAAAAAGGAAATCTATCTACCTGTCATCTATCTATCTATCTATCATCTATCTATTATCTATTATCAATCATCTATCACCATCATCTATCATCTCCTATGGTGCCCTTTGACCAATATTTTATTCATGATCACTATTATTTGTTGCTTTCCTGTTATTCATCTGTCAGTATACCCTATGCCTTGTTAATGACATAGAGAAGACCACAGTCCTCGAGGAATGCAGGATCTATTTTAAGCCACCTAGTTTAAACATCATGTCTAAGCAACTGAAAGAACACAGAACAGAATTGTCTAGGTAACTTGTCAGGCGCAGGAAAGGGGAAGCCTCCATAGGAATGCAAGAGAAAACAGGGGGATGGTTTGCAAAGCAGACCATTAAAGAAACAGGAGGAGGAAGGAGAATGTTGTATTGAAAAATCCATAATTTGTCAATAATAATAATAATAATAAGCTGAACTTTCCTGCACAGGTTTACATAGGTGATTCCCAGACCCATGATCCTGTTATGAGGGTGGGGTTGGACAAAATGGGTTTTACGCACAAACCCCAAGACTCTGGTTTTAAAAAGATACTGCTAAAGATGTTGAAGCCACCAAAAGGGTATGGCTCTATCATGTCTTGTAGATGTCCATGTGATTTGATGCCATAGGAGCTAATGATCAGAGAGATTCCTTGTACAGTGGTGACCCGCAAGACGAATGCCTCGCAAGACAAAAAACTCGCTAGACGAAAGAGTTTTCCGTTTTTTGAGTCGTTCCGCAAGACGAATTTCCCTATGGGCTTGCTTTGCAAGACGAAACGTCTTGCGAGTTCTTGCGAGTTTGTTTCCTTTTTCTTAAAGCCGCTAAGCCGCTAAGCTGTTAATAGCCGTGCTTCGCAAGACGAAAAAACCGCAAGACGAAGAGACTCGCGGAACGGATTAATTTCGTCTTGCGAGGCACCACTGTAGCTCCTTTTCTTTTGCAGCTCATTCTCACCACTGGAGTCGATGGTCAGGGATGATGGGAGTTGTAGGCCAAAAACAGCTGGAGACCCAAGTTTGGTCTATTTATTCAAATGAGTGGAAGATCAACTGATGTATGTTTCTATGTTCCAGCAGTCCTAGGTGCAACCTGAAACCTTCAAATGACCAAACCGACCCTTATTTGAATGTGTTCCACCTCCTTCCACATTCCGTTCTGAGACTGATTAAATGCAGACTCCATCAATGGCTCTTAACATCAGCCATTTTCTGCCAACCCTCTCTTCCCACCCCCTTGTTTTGTTTACCATAAAACCTGATGAAGAGTTCTGGAGAACTCAAAAACTTCTAAGCTGCTTTGTAATTTTTTGGTTGGCCTAACCAAGATATGGCCCTTTTGTGTGAGTGTGGCAGGATACCCATCAAAACATTATTTAATATAGAAGATAGATGATAATTTGAAAATAGGGTAAGTCAAGATGTCTTATCAAAGATAAGCCTGCAGTGATAACAGAAATGAAATTAGATTTGTAATGAATTTATGGTTGAGAGGAATCCAGATGTTTCATTTTGAGTTTCCCATCACTTTTTAATATTATTTATTTTAATTTGTTGTCATCTGACATTGTGATTAATATGTGCATAATTACCGTAAGCTTTAGATGAGACTCATTGGTAGTTTCATTTGGACTTGTTTTCTCTCTAACTTGTTTGCTCCCCATCCTGTCTTCCCAGGGCAGTTTTAAAATAAATCTCGCAACTGAATCTTAGGGCTTATTTTGAAACAAAATTCTTTTGCTGCACAGGACTCAAGACGAAATGTACCTTGGATACGGAAATTGAGACGGGAGGCTTGCAGCCAAAGTGGTTTCCTTGCAAGAGAAGGTAACAATTCAAGAAATGGCAATGGACAGTTTTTTAAAAAGAAGGAGCCAAGAGTGCAGCGTCTTCTGTTGTTGCCTTTCATCCTTATATTTAATGTTAAAAGTTAAGTGGATGTTGTGAAGTAACATTAAAACCAAAGCCAGAAATATGAAACAAAGCACGTGCACTTCTTTGACAGCATGAGGATATAATATGCCCACATTGCAATTCAAGCGCTAATCGGTAGCGTTATTCAATTTGTTGGTTTTCTCTCCTTTTTGTCAAAATAATAGTGGCTGCATGCTGTACCGTTAATGGCCGTTTCCCAGAGTCTGTCACTTTTTGCATAAGTGCTGCTGCAGTACAAAGCTGTTCAGATTCCCTCTGAGGACAGTTATTCTTATGACAGCAGTTGAAGGGAAACAGACAGGAAGAAAAGAAAGAGATTCTAGCTCTGATACGGGCTGCAAAAATCCAAATACAATACAGTTTAGAACAATGTACACAGCGTCTTAGAGATGCTGCTGGACTCTAGAAATATTTGCAGACTGAGGCAAATTCTGCAGGGCTGATTCTTGCAGAGGGTAGGCCCTGTGTCCATTGGGATCTGCACACAGCCAGGAACAAGTTATCATCTCTTGTTGGGTGTGGAGACAGCCAACATGCATATTCCCATCGCTCCTCACATTGATTGACTGTAAGCATGGGAGGAAGAGTGAGAAGGCAGCTTGTGTTATATACAATTAGGAAAGAGATTAAAAACAAGTCAGAAAATATCAAAATGCACACATATATATGGTGCATCTTTCTCTCACTCGTTCTCTCTCTCTCATAATATTAGAGCCCAGGGCCATCCAATGAGCTGGATGTTATAAGCTGGGAAGTGAGGAGACTGTATACCCCTTAGCATATCTCTGATGAAAATAAAGACGTCCTATTTCATTATAGTAATAATAATAATAATAATAATAATAATAATAATAATAATAATTTTATTATTTATACCCCCCCCAATTCTGACTGGTGGTTGCCCCAGCCATTCTGGGTGGCTTCTAACATATATAAAAAACATAATAAAACATTAAAGAGAGGTATACATTTACCAATTGTGAGGGAGAGGAAATGGAGGGACATTTGCTGCTCCTTTTTAAAAATGATTTCTGATGAAATCGAAAGAAATGATGGCTATTTGACTTCAACCTGGCCAAAAAATAATAATAATCAGTGCTTTTTTTCAGGGGGTACTCAAGGTTATGCAGTACTGGCACCTTTTTTTGTTGTTAAAAAGTGTGGCACTTAACTGAAACAACTTCATGGTGAGTACCGGCAGCTATTTTTCGAGGGGGGGAGGAAGCAGTGAAAATAATAATTGATTATAATTAAGACCATCGAGGTGGGTGGTCACTTAGAGCTATTTCTGGGCTGCATCTCTTCTGATGAGGGATGGGGTCACATGACTGAATGCCGCTCCATACCAGAAAAGAGTCTTTCCCACAGAAAACTCAATGTCAGGGAGTACGATTTCAGCATAGCCTCCTCCTTGACATTTAGTTGTCTGTGTCTAGGGATTATAATTATTTTTTTACATGGAGGAGCATTCTGTCAGCTGAGTCCCCACCTGCAGTCTGAAGCAGTATAAACCCAGGCATAGGTTTGTCACCTCAGGGTAAATTCGGACTTTAGCATAATCTGAAGAGGGGTAGACCAGAACAAACCAGCCCTCGGTGTGGCATAGTTCTGCATTAAAACACTACAGAGCAAGAAGGCATTTGCCTGTGCTGTAGGCTTGTTTATTATTTCTATAAAAGATTCTTTTTCTGGTCAATAAAAAAATGAAGATAGGTCTATCTGTCTAAACCACACAGATAATTAGAGCATTGTGTCATGTTTTCCTGAGATTAGATTTCAATCATTTACATTGAACAATCAATAGGGTCAAATGTACAATGTTGATTTAGCATTTAACAGAATAAATGTAATCAATAGGCTCTATTACCAGATGTCAGCTTTCAGGCAGCAGTGAAGGAATATAGTGATATACACAATGTAAGACAATGTAATAATTATGGAATGGGTGCCTCGTAATTTGGTCAGGGTGTTGTCTGCTTATTCTTTTGAATCACTTTTCTTTGTGATGAAACTACAGTGTTTTCTTTCTTGCCAATACTATAATTTAAAGATGGTAAATAAAAAGAGTAATTTAAAATGTCACTTTATTCATGCTTCAGTTCCCAAGAGTGTGCACTTACCTGACACTTCAGAGTATAATAATTATACCATAAGGCAGGAATAAATATAGAAATTTGGGCGGGGGGGGGGAGGATCACAACCCACAATTTAAGGACACCCATAATAAACTACACATTGCAGATCAATATACTTTTCAGATAAAATGTTGGAGTAACGAAGAAAATGCTTCAGTTCTCAGCACATGCTTGGAGATTATATGATTTTTTAAAAAAAGAAATCCAGTCATAGATGCTTGTTAGCTATCAAGTGATAAACTAACCTTAGGCACAAACCTCGCTGAGTTTTCAATAATGAAATAACAATGTCTCATCCAACTCTTCATTCAAAAGGTTGTTGAATGTAACAATGGTGTTTCAATAGCAACTTGTTTAAATAGTGTGTGAGAGTTTCAACCCAACCTAGCTAGGTTCTCCCTTATTATGCCTTCTACTGTGACAGCTCTTAGGAAGTTTAGGCTTCCTCATCTATGATCCCAGTGACCATCATCTGGTGCTTAACTAAGGAAGGGAACTATTTTCTTTCTGACCTAGGAGACAGGATGAGCTGCGTGAATCAAAGTGTTGGTGCTGACCTTCAAAGCCCTAAACGGCCTCTGCCCAGTATACCTGAAGGAGCGTCTCCACCTCCATCGTTCGGCCCAGACACTGAGGTCTAGCTCTGAGGTCCTTCTGGCGGTTCCCTCACTGCGAGAAGTGAGGTTACAGGGAACCAGGCAGAGGGCCTTCTTAGTAGTGGCACCTGCCCTGTGGAATGCTCTCCCATCAGATGTCAAGGAAATAAACAACTATCTGACTTGTGGAAGACATCTGAAGACAGCCCAGTTTAGGGAAGTTTTTAATGTTTGATATTTTATCGTGCTTTTAATATTCTGTTGGGAGCAGCCCAGAGTGGCTGGGGATGTCCGGCCAGATGGGCAGGGTATAAGTAATTTATTATTATTATTATTATTATTATTATTATTATTAGGCAGATTTAGACAACAAAAGTTGCCTCTGAGTGATCTCACACACGAAACACACTAGTCTCATTTCAATAAGCTAGCACTCGCTGAGGTCCATTGCTCACCTGGGGTTTTATGCTTATGGGTTTTGTTTTGTTTTGGGAACATCCTTCCACCACCACCTTGCTGTCTTTATGGAAGCAGTGGCCCTTGCATAATCTGCATACACCCCAAAGGGGGTGAAGGTCAGGCCACTTTCTGCCGGCAGGAAATTTCCCCTGAGAAATGCAAGACTTGTGGCAGAGGCCTAAGACGAATTTCCTTGCAGCTTGGGTGACGTGCGTCAGGCTGCTGCTGCTGCCTAGAAAAGAGGATGTAGAACGAAGGGAGCAGCTTTAGACCCTGAGCCCAGCGAGCTCACGATGTGCTGTGTGTCCTGCCCTGTCCCTCTCCAGGGTTTGAGACAGGAGCCTTTCCCAATGCTACCTGGCCTGCTGAGGACCAAACCTGAGACCTTCAGCAGGTACAGCATTTGCCCCAGCACTGAGCAACATCCTTGAGCCAAGGCTCAAACCATATCATGGGAAGCTGCCTTACACCATGTGCCATTTGGGGGATCACATTATATAGCACCACAGAATTGTAGAGTTGGACATAGAACTGTAGAGTTGGAAGGGATGCCAACAAGTCATCTAGTCCAACCCCCTGCAATGCAGGAATCTCAACATGGGGTCTCCCATCCAATTTGAAACCTTACCAGACCCTGCTTAGCTTTGCAAATATGCTAGCAGTTTCATTGCTGCACCACAAGGATTTATGAAAATATGTCAATGGAACCCAAGCAATAGGAAAGGCTCCTGAAGTGGGTTATGGAGGCCCTAAAGCATGAAGGTACCGATTCTTAAAAGAAAGCATAAAAATAATAAAAAGTGAGGAAGAGTTGTGGGGTATGTCTGTTGAATGTGAACATTTGCTGTCTGCTTCTCCACTGAAAAAGGAAAGGCTTGTGTCTCTTCTATGGAATGTTTTAGCAAAAGACTAACAAATTACTATGTCCTCAGAAGCTTTCAAACCCTCACGCTAATGGCAGAGTACATTTATATCTGGTCTCAGTGCCTGAAAGCTTCGTGCTGTTAGCTGAAGACTGGCGCTAGCAAATGAGTGAAGTGACATTTTTTTGGCCAGGTCAGTAAAACATGCTCAACAGGACTGAGTTAAGGCATCTTTAGCAGGAGTGAAATCACTGTGTAAACAGTGTTCCTTGACTATGGTTTCCTCTCCACTCCTGCCCTGCCTGAGTCACTTCAATTTCCCAAAGTGCTCTGCTGCAGACCATAATGTTGTCTGACTTTAACAAGGACTTGGAATGATTGAACTACAATTTATCAGCATATTCAATTCTGTTCAGTTTGGTCTTAATCAAGACGCTGGATTTATTTCCCCATTACACCTCTTAAGTTAGAATGACATAGATCGGGGTGAGAAACAGGATACAGTTGGTGGACCAGATCCTGAGCCCCTTCGCCTTCTACAGACCACTTTGACATGGTAGGCTTTCTATCTGCCAGCCAACTGGCATTTGTTTTGAGGCCAATTCAAGGTGCTCACATTAGATCCCTAAGTGATTCAGGCTCTACATATCTGAAGGACCGCCCCCTTCCCTACAGACCCTCTTGGGTGTTAAGATCAGCGGAGGGTGCCATATTGGTTGTTGCACCACCCTCAGAGGCTCAGGAGAGTGGGTGGTTTGGGAAAAGGCATTCTCCATGGTAGCCCCTAAATTGCTGTAATCCTCACTGGGACCTTAGGGTGTGTGGGATGTAACATAAGCAGTCAAGTACAATACTTCCTGTTTGCCCAGAGTGGACACACAGGGGAGGTGTTACTCCACAGCCAGGAGGACTTCCTGTCAAACCTGATCTGGAGCTTCCTCCCCTTGCATGTAAATAGGTACGTGGGCGTAACCCTTGCAGACCCCACAAAAAGTCCAGTCACACAGCCATCTTCCTCTTTTGATGCCATTTCTTCTCTTGGACTGCACTGCTGGCTCTCTGCCAGTAGCATATGGGCTCATCCTTACAAGGATGTAAGCCACACTGTATCTGTAACTACAAGCTAAAGCCTGCCTTCAGGGATCATACTGTGAACTGAATGTAAGTAAACTTTTCATTACTTATAAGGAAGACTCTTGGTTTTTTTATTTTTATTGAGGCAATCAAAGGGGTCTTACCAGGAATATACTCCAATCCGGGCATGCCAGATTGGATTGCTTAACTAAAGAGATTCGAACGAATCTGCAAATAGCTTCTTGCTGTGTAAAACGGGGAATGAACTCTGCTATAAACATGACTCACTAGTGTGAGTTAGGAAGGATAATATTTAATCAATATAGCCTCTCCTACTACCCACAACATTCCCACAGGGTGAAGGACAGGTAATAAATGAAAACAGCAACAATAAATAATAATAATATTCTGGTGGGCTTGAGGGGCCTAATTAAGTCTGCAGGACAGAGGTCCCCCACCCTTAGCACAGCCAGAAATTCACTAATTTCACAATGAATTACTCATTTCTTATCTTGTATATATTGGGTCTCTGCCTAGTTCAGTTCCTAGGTTTATTGTTCTAGCAAAAGGCCACGACAAACTTGTATTAAATAATAGGATTAATAGCATGATACAGAATATGCATCCATAATATAAACATCTGTAAAGATTTGCCTAGTTCCTGAGCATTAAAACAGCTTCCCTTGTGCACCTCTGACAGCTCCAATTTGAATATTATTTTATAATATTATTTTGCCAGCATCCATGAACTAATAGAGAGAAGTTACAAAAGACATCAACAAACTCAAATCCAGCTTGATGTCAGATTAATCCTCCAAATCACCACAACAATTTATAGCAATTTTATCTAACTCCTTTTTCCTGATTTCCCCCCCAGCTAGTGCATAGAAGGTTCTGCATAGAAGTGCTACAGACTTATTGCTTGCAATTTATGGCCATTGGGTAACATTTTGTATATTTCACCCTCTGTTTTCATGTGTATGTACTATGCTATGCTAAGAACAACACTAAGAATTAACACTTCGTTCATCTCACGAAGTGGACTCTAGTTCCTGAACTCTTAAGCCCCAATAAACCTATTAGTCTTTAAGGTGTCACAAGATTCATGGCCAAAACTAATCTCTGCATCCCAGATTTATTGCTCTGTCATGGTCACTTGAATTAATGCACACAGTCCATTTACATTGAACCGATGTGTACGCTGGGCTCCTTCACAAAGGAGGAACACGAGCTTCTCTTCACAACCATATCTCATAGAGTCACTTCTGGATTTTGCCTAAAACGAATTTTTGGCACAACTTTGGAGGTTCTTGCTCAGGCGAAACCAGGGAATATCAAGAGAAGAACAAACATTTCCTAGAAATTTAGTGAAATGTCTTTGCTTTTGGCTCTTTTTTTTAGGGTGGGATGTCTGGTGGCGAATTTGTGCAGCTGGAAAATCTGGATATCTTTCTTTTTTTAAAAAAAACACCTCTGTTTACGAGCAGGTTTTGCTCCAACTCCATTCCTAGGGAAATCTCTTTAGCCCCACCCTGTTTGGCTTGCCACCAGCAGACGGAGGCTTTCTTGTTTCGACAGAACTCTTCAGCCTACTGAGATGATTAGTTTTCTCCACTGCTGGTTTTGCTGTTAGATGCTGTTTTTAATTTGCTCTTGCTGTTTCTCATCTGCTCCTGCTTATGTTTATTGTTATTTCCTTTTTTTATATCTATTTTGATAGTGTGTTTTTATAGATGTTTTCTTCTGGGGGGGGGGGGGGGAAAGGATGCCAGTACTCAACATGAAGTTGTTGCAGTAAGCAGTGCTTTTCTTTTAGGGAAAAAAAGGTGCCAGGACTGTGTACCCTTGGGTAAAAGGGCAAAGGTAAAGGACCCCTGGACGGTTAAGTCCAGTCAAAGGCGACTATGGGGTTGTAGCGCTCATCTCGCTTTCATGCCAAGGGAGCCGGCGTTTGTCCACAGACAGCTTTTTCAAGTCATGTGGCCTGCATGACTAAACCGCTTCTGGAGCAATGGGACACTGTGACAGAAACCAGAGCTCATGGAAATGCCGTTTACCTTACCGCAACAGTGGTACCTATTTATCTACTTGCACTGGTGTGCTTTCGAACTGCTAGGTTGGCAGAAGCTGGGACAGAGCAACGGGAGCTCACTCCATCAAGGGGATTCGAACCGCCAACCTTCTGACCAGCAAGCTCAAGAGGCTTAGTGATTTATACCACAGCGCCACCCTCGAGTACGCTCAGAAAAAAGCACTGTTAATATCCTTTACAGCTTCCTATTCCAGAAAGGTAGAGAAAAGGATAGGAAGAACCCTCCTCTATCCTAAGCATTGAGATACATTTGCAATATTGTCTCTACTGTAGTTCTTTTTCCTGGTCACAGAAGCTGTGAAGATGAAGGTTGCTTTAGGAAGGAAACAGAAGGGTTGGTTTTTATCTTGTCTGAGATGCTGCCAATTAATATTTTAATCGTGATCTTGGTCAGATTTGTATTCCTTGTGGCCAAAGGCCATTGCAAAAAATATATTAAAAAATACTAATAATAATCAATCAGGCTCAAAGGTATGCAACAAATTGCTTTTGCAAATCCACATAGTGAAAATTCTATGCATATAAATTGCAATGAATAGAAGGCAGAATCAAGGCTTAGAAAACAAGCAAGTTATAAGGAAAACAAGCAATAAAATAAAGGATAAAAGAGCAATAAAAATTAATAATAAAATACCAAATCAGAACATCACCATGACGAATTTGTAGGTGTCTCTGGAAGCACTTGCACACAGGGTCCTGTAGCAGCCAGTACAAGAAGAGGACAGCGTCAGATGGGAAGTTTGACTGGAGAGGTACACCTGTCAAACTGTAACGCAGGTGTCCTAAGGTGAGCTCAGGGCGGGCAGAAACCCCCATGGAGCAGAAGGGCAGAAGCATGCTTGGTCTTTGTTTTTAGTATGAGTACAGACTGCGAAAGTGGGGCCTTTTGGCTTTTTAGGGTTTTAAGCAAGAGGTGTCAGAAAAGTTACCCCAGGGATGACTGCCTTGTGGTGGCCAAGCTTTCATAGCTTTCGATGTCGGCTCTTCTTATCATTGTGAAGCAGAATTCACCAAGTGTTGGTTTCTTCGCCCCCTAAAAGAGAATGTGAGTTGGGTTTAGACTATGAGACAGGTTAGGATTACCCAATGAATGATGTGTTGTTGTGATAGTAATCCTGCTCAGTACAAGAGGAATCGCAGGTTCTGACATTTGGTGTATGTGCTTGGCTGAGGAGCCATGGAGCGAAACGACAACGATTTTCCAAAAAAAGTCAGACTCTGACAATAGGTGACATATATCTTTTCTCGGATTATTTTATACTGGGGTTTCAAGTGTGAAGGACAATGTAAGATGGGATGCAGAAGGTCTTCCAGCTCAGTGATTCCAGAAAGACATCTGGGCAAGGTCAGCTGAGTTTAGGAAAAGTAAGATTGACCAAATTGGAAGCTCTGCAATAGTCATTTTTATACAGCTAAAACCATCTGGAACTTAAAACTATTGCTCTTTCAGACAGTATGTGTTGTTCAGAAACACTGTTTCATACAAAAATGCATTAGGGGAAATTGCTTTGCAAAAATCTGTACATTAGCCAAAATTGCACACAATAAATGCCTATATTAGGAGAAATTTGCTCTAAAACACTGATCAATTTTCATGAGGATTTTTTAAAAAAAGATTGCAAAACTGGTATGAAAATGTGGAAAATGGAACTTAAGTTGGGAAAAATTAGACACTGAGATTGGCAGATCTGCCCATTGTTACCCTAGAGTTAAACCCTTCTTCGCTACAGGGATATCATTCATATGTTACTGATGTGATTAAAAGCCCATTTGAAAGATGGAGCTGATGAAAGGATAGTTGCTTTTATTTCAGCCAACCTAAACATCAACATTCAAACCTTAGATAGTGTTTCTCAACAATATTTTCAGGTACTTTTGATATTAAGAAAGAAGTCCGGCACTTTCCTTTGTATTTTAATGTTTTAATTGTACCTCTGTGTGACGTGTGAGCTGTCGAGAGGACATTTGTCAATTGGGCAGTCAACAAATGTTCTTGATAAATAAAGATGTACAATAGTCTTTTGCTATGTTTATTTTGTGTAGGGCTAACTGTATTATTTATTTGCCTACCACATTATTTTAAAATCACAGAGGAGGGTGACAGATGGTGGCTGTCAAGCTTGGGGAAACGGAGCACTACTGGGTAGTGACTATAAATAATGACAAAAGGGGGGGAAATAAGTGACTTGTGCATCAATATTTTACAAGCGCTGTTTTCTGCAAATGAGAGAGGAACAATGTTTTGACTGTAGCCTTCAGCGGCAACTGAAATGATGTTTTTGTTTCCTTTTTATTTGAAAATAAAAGCTGCACTATTATTATTTATTATTAAAAGCCTGTAATGTGGCATCCAAATAAACCATAAATCTCCTCGCAGTTTGTTTCCGATGGATCTCATAATCAATCTGCCTGATGTTTTACAGATGTATTTAGCCAAGCAGTCCCCAGTTCAATATTTCACAAGCTGCGGTAGGGTTTCTAGAGGGAGACATTCCAGACACTAGTTTGCCATGCAAACAATTGCCTGTTTTTGGAACTTGCCATTGTGAGTTTGACTTTAATGTTTGTTTGCTTGCTTGCTTGCCCGCTTGCTTGCTTGCTTGCTTGCAAGAAGAAGAAGAAGAAGTTGCAATTATTTGTACCCCGCCCATCTGGCTGGGTTTCCCCAGCCACTCTGGGCAGCTTCCAACAAATCGTGTCCTCCAAATCATGGAGAGCCACGTGTTGCAGTGAGATCACCAAACTGCCTTCTTGTTGCTGGGGCGGACCGTTTGGATGACCTCCTTGCCTCATTGGTCGCCCCTTTGTTACTGGGGAAAATTTCTGTCGGTTGGGGTTTGATTGGCAATTAAGGGGCTATTTTAGGAGCTGCACGAGGTGAAATACTTCCTCTTTCGTATCGTGCAGCGGATCTCCCTCCCTCCCTCCCTATAATTTAAGGTTGTGTTTTTGACCTTGTTATGCCTGTCTAGGGGTCATCTGTTTTTGAAGCAGGGGCCCAGTAGGAATTTTGCCACTTGGCTGATTGGCTGGTGCCATTTGGTTTTTGCCTACAGTGTAGCAAATTGTCACAACTTTGCAAGGTTCATTCTTCGGTAGAGGGGATTATGGATTGGCTGTGCCTGCTCCTCATTTTTGCTGCTGCTGCTAGGGAATTCCGTTAAAGGAATCCAGGGGCTCAATTTGCTCTGTCCGATCTCCTCTCAGGGGTAGGGCCATGCCAGAGTTCCTGGGAGCATCTGGGGTGAACTAAGAGGCGGAAATCTGTCTCTGTGCTCCCCCAGCATGTTTTCGCTTACTGACCTCTGGAGGTTCCAGTTGTCAGTTCTGTTCCTGCCGGGGCAGGTTCAGGCAGTCCGAACCAATGCCTAAGCAACCACTCACATGCTGTAAACAATAAAGTTGTGGCCAAATTAATGCCAAAAATCTTAAACAAATACCCTGTTTCCTGTGTGATTTATTTTGGAGGGGGTTTGGGGGTCTTCACATGCTAAGATTAAACCTACATTAAAATATCAGTCATTAAAAACTTCCTTCAGATGTCTTCCAAACGTCAGGTAGTTGTTTATCTCTTTGACATCTGTTAGCGAAATTATTTGAGGAGTCGCTTTGTTCCAGGAGCTTTAGATTTATGGACCCCTGTGCAGTTGCAGGATTTCAGGGAGTGGTGAGCTGGAAGAGTCTGTGGCAGACAGAATTCCAGAAGCTGAAGCAGGGGAGGAGGGATTCCAAGAGGCAGAGATGAGTCAGGGTGGTGAAGGGTCACAGGTGACTCCTCCTCCTTCTGCAACAAGCTCCCCTCCCCCTTGGTCTCCCAGAACCAGAAAAGGTATGAAAAGAGTGGAGCAGAGGTTGGCATCATGCAGGCACAGTCTCCAATTGCTTGGGGAAAGCCCTGAAAAGAAGGGGACTTAAACAGCTGTGAGAAGGCAAAGACTTTCAGTCTCAGCAACTGATTCAAAGGGCAAGACCTACCAGGGATGAGCTGCTGTGCTCATTAGGCCTGAAGATCCTGGATAATAATAATAATATTTATTCATATACTGCCTATCTGACTGGGTTTCCCCACCCACTATGGGCATCTTCCAACAAATTAAAACACAATATGACATCATCATCATCATCCCTTATACAACCGTAATGTAATGGAAATTAATAAGATTTTCAAATGCAGAAATAAAGCAAATAATCAAGCCATCAATCCTAGCCTGCTGGGGGTGGCACCTCATCTAAATTATATAATTCGGTATTCAAACTATTGGTATTAATAATTGTATTATAAATTGGTATTGTTATAGTGAGGCTATTATTGGTTTGTAATTGAAAACTAATAACAATTATTATTTTTTTAAAAAACTGAAAACAATACATCAAACATCAAATAAAGAGTTAGCTCCAACTTTGAATGGTATGATTTATGGCTGGCTTCTGAAAATAAACTAGTACATTCTAAATCTGCTCTGTTCTTAGTGTAATTTTTGTTTACTATAATTTAACAATAATTTTTATTTATTCTTTCAGATTGTTTGGAGCAGTTCATCTACCCTATCTGTCTGTAATCCTTACTGCAACCCCACAGGTCACTGTTACTATTCCAATACTATGGAGGGGAGAGCTGATATTGAGAGGTGGTGAATTGCTTAAGCCCCCTGCTGGTGGTGTATTGGAGCCATAACATGTAGGTGGTAGAACATCTTCAGGATCTTTTAAAGAGGAGGAGCAATGGCATCCTCTTTCCTCTAGGAAGTTTCTTCTAGGAACTTCCAGTTCTTAGTATGGTTTGCAACAGATATAACCGATTAGCATAGAGCAGATTAGCATAAATCAAAACCAAAAAAGCCAGACAAACTTCGAGAGAGAGTGTCCCACAAGGGCCAAGAAAGCCCTGCAGTGGGTCAAAGATTTTCTCATCTCAGTTAATGTTGACACTGTCCGGCTGATCTCAAAGCACAGGCAGGAAAATACGGAGAAAGATTATCTGTCAGGTAATCTACTTAGGTTACTGCCACCATTCACCACTATCCAGATAGAGGAAACCACTGGAAACTATGAAACAAAAGCAGTCTCTGTTTATCTTTCTTTTCTCTTTTGCACTTCTGCATAAAGAGGCAGACTGCTAATTCTTCAACAAGACAGAAAACAGCTGGCCCAATATGCTATCTGTCCCAATATACAGAAAAATCTGCATTTTTTTTAAAGAAAGAAAATAAGGCAAGCCTGGTTTTTACACATTATTTTGTTTAGACACGGGAGTGTGTTGTTGTTGTTGTTGTTGTTTTAAATGCAGGCACGTAACTATCCGTCTAAATTTAGAGACAAGTATTTAATGAAAATCAAGTAATGGATATTATATTGTGATCTATTACTGTGTTACTTGTCTCATAATCAGGGAGATGATCTGTGTGAGATCGCTGAACACTTACACCCGGCTGGATTCGAAGCAGCGTGAGGGAAACAGCTGGGGCATTTACTTATACAGCACATTGTAAAGTCCCCCACCCGGCTTGGATCGGCACAAAAGCCAGCATCTCTGTACAGAAGCACCAGCTGGGTGGGAAATGGCATGAAGCAAATGGCTGCAAGCCATGCAGTTGCCCTCTGATCCAGCAGCTGGGGGTGCCTGCAGGAAGAAGCTCTTTCATAAAGATAAGACTCCCATTGATTAGCTGTTCGGGGCACTGGGGATCGGGGAGTGGAGTGAATCCAACCCCCAGCTCTCCTTCCCAAGTAGCCAGTAGTGATGCACTGGAATTCTGAAAGGGCTTTGTAAGAGCAGCCCCAGATGTTGCTACAGGGAGGTTCCTGCTTGCAAATAGGGTGGAGTGGGGCATTTCAATGCCTTGTACAAAATGATGGGGATGGTGTTCAAATATCAAAGCAATGGAAAGCTAGAACAAAACAAAACAAAAAAGCCATTTTTTGTTAGGCTTCAGGGAATTCGATCCCCCTCCCTTGCGGCTGGCAGCCAGAAACGGGAAATCAAGAAGTTCTTACAATGGTATTTTATTCAGTATTCACAGAGAGAGATGGATGATGCCTCCTCTCAGATACAGTGGTACCTCGGCTTACAGACGCTTCA